CTCGACGGCACTTAACAACAACAACAACAATATTATATGTAAATTAATATTTTAATTTATATTTTAAGTGATTCCGGAAATTTTACTCTTTTAAGAAATGCCAGTGGAAGTCATATTGTATTACAAGGAGTTCAACAAGTTTGTAGAAAAATGGAATTAAAAGATAATGAATTTGCTTTCTTTGCTGCATCGACTGAGAGAATGAAGACCATTCTCAGCAACCACACTGTGGACATTCTGGAGAACATCGACATCAGTCTGAAGGGCCGCACAGTCATCGTGAAGGGCCCCGGGGAACCCTGCGGAGGGACTTCGACCACATCAATGTGGCGCTCAGCCACCTGGGGAAGAAAAAGAAGAGGCTTTGCATTGACAAATGGTGGGGAAACGGAAAGAAACTGGCTACAGCCCACACCATCTATAGTCATGTGCAGAATATGATCAAGGGTGTTATACTGGGCTTCCGTTACAAGATGAGATCTGTGTATGCTCACTTCCCCATCAGCGTTGTTATCCAAGAGAGCAGGTCTCTTGTTGAAATCCAAAACTTCTTGGGTGAAAAATACATTCGTAGGGTTCAGGTGAGGACAGGTGTTGCTTGTTCAGTATCTCAAGCCCAGAAAGATGAGTTAATTCTTGAAGGAAATGACATTGAACTTTTAATTCAGCTGCTTTAATTCAGCAAGCCACAACAGTTAAAAACAAGGATACCCGAAAATTTTTGGATGTTATCTATGTGTCTGAAAAAGGAACTGTCCAGCAGTCTGATGAGTAAGATATAAAAGCTATGGAAACGAGGCCCGGTGATTCCTAAGATCTATTGGTGGTATTTTTGATGTAATAAAATTTATCCCACCCCAAAAAAAAGATAATGGATTTTTTCCATGAATTTTTTAAGTCCCCTCATAATGCAATTATCCATTTATTATGTCTCATTTTCAAGGTATAATGTTTATTTTAGTATAGTTTTCCTAGAGCAGGTACATTTGTAATTGCTTATATAAAAGATAGTGGAATTTTTTTTTTTTTTTGATTCTGCAGTAAAATTATTACAAAGGTAATGAAATGACTGTTTTTATTTGATATAGTCTGCTATTTCCAGTTCATATAACAGATGGTGTTGGTACTAGAAAGGGGTCTTGGTTTTATTCATACCAGAATATAAGATCATATCTTTTGGTTTCACATGAATTTTATTTATGATATGTGTCTATGTATGTGTGTACGTATATGTATATGTGTGTGAGTGTGTATTTATAAATAAGCCTACATAGAGGTATTTGTAAACTTAGGTAATAGTGTAGCTGTTCTAGTTGGACTGTATTCCTGACAATGATAGGAGCACACATGGTGAAAGGTGGTATTTCAGTGAGTCTCAGATAGTCCTTTGTCTTATGCAGCTACGATGCTCAAGCGATGCACTTCACTTTCTTATATCAACATGGTCGACTGCTAACCAATGCTAAAGGTTAAGAGTGTAATGTGCAGTTCCATGCTTTTTAAAACCTGTATAATTGATGCATTCAGTGTTTTAAATTAAAAAAAAAAAAAGCAAAAGTTGGTAGTCTAATAAAGCATGCACCTTTTTGTGTATAATGATGTTTTACCTCTGTATTAACAGAGGTCATCTCAGAGCAAGCATGAAGCAGGCTCTCATGAAGCTGAGCGGCAGAATGAAGGTCCAGGAGTGGCAGAAATTAGCATGGCAACTTCTGGTAGTGGTCAGGTAAATAAATCATTTTATTTTTTAGTTAACATTTAAATATTCTGAAGCGTGTGGAATGAGATGGTGTCTTGTGTATTTTTTTAGTCCTGAACGGATAGTGCCAAAAGCATTCGCTACCAAAATATTATTTTTTTTCTTTATTACATCTAGCAATAATACTTTCAAAATTTCTAAATACATTTTTTATCTCTCTAAATTTTCCATTTATGTTTTAATAAAAAATGTGTGATATGAGACAGATGTTTTTGAAAAGTAACTATTAAGCTGTATTTTTGCTATATGTGTGATTTGACCTAGTTACTATTGATTGCATTGAATAGATTTGCTTTTTCCCTAAGACATTCCGTGCAAAATCATTTTGTTTTTTATTGATAGGCATAAGGACTTTATTGTAGTTATTTTCTATTTTACTTCAAGATTACAAAAAACTTGAAATCGAAATCTTAGGAAGAAGATAATCATAATCTTACAAAAAGTAGAGGGCAATGGGAGAGGAACGACTTGTAAAGGAGGATGAGAATGGTTGTGCAACTCAAAGAACATAACCAGTGTCCCTGAATTGTACTTGGGAAGGTTGTTGCTTTGGTGTATAGTCTACTTTGTATCTTCTCAACAATAACAAAAATAAATTGTTTTGTTTTGTTTTGTTTTGTGTTTTTAAAGGAAAGGGAAATAGCCTCAGCATATTTAGCTGTTTACTTTTAGCAATATTTTGGAAAGTCAACTTGATTGTTGTTGTTGTTGTTGTTTTTAGTATCAAACCATTTTGCTGCCAACTACTTTCTATTAGCGTTTCATTGGAATTTATCCTAGTAGGATAGAATTTTCCTTTGGGTTTTTCTGTGTTCTCTAAATTTTATTTAATGAGTTATTTTATTTTAAATTTTATTAAATAAATTATTTTTTTAAATGTCACTAAATTAGATTTAAAAGGAACTCTGATAGTGTAGTGGTTATGAGTCGGACTGCTAATCTTACGGTCAGCAGTTCGAAACTACCAGCTGTTCTGCAGAAGAAAGATGAGGCTTTCTACTCCCATAAAGATTTACAGCCTCAGAAACCCTGTACAGGGTCGCTATGTACAGGAACCGACTCCATGCACATAACCACCCAGTTAAGTTTAAAATTATCTTCCCTACTGTTGATATAAAAAATTATTTTAGATTTAGATTTCTAGATTACTTTTCAAAAACATCTGACTGATACGACACAGTTTGACTGAAACATAAATGGAAAATTTATGTGTAAGAATGGATTTGTTTCTGTTCATTAAAAATTAGGCTGAAAATATCTCATACTTCAATATTTCCATTTATTTTATTGAGTTGAAAAATATTTAGTATTAGTAGTTAATGTTACACTGGGAGAACATTATAGGTGGACAATTAGGAGAAAAGCAATTCTATGTAAATAACACATTTGGAGTTTACTTTGTGAAGTTTATGCATTCACCAGATGTAGAAGGAACAAAAAGGTTAGTATTTTCTGAAAAAATCATTATAGTTAGACCTACTTTTAGTTCTTTAGGTTATATTTCAATCATTATATAAATTAAAAGCCATATAAGAATGAAGAAAATACGGGTGTTGTTTTTGTTGTTAAATGCCATTGAGTCAGTGCTGACTCATAGTGGCCCTATATAGGACTTCCAAGGGGAGCAGCTTGGTGAGTTTGAACAGCCATCCTTGTGGTTCAAACCAACTTTGCAGTCTATTGCTTTATGCCACAGCACCACACGAAGACTCCAGAGTTTTTATAATCACGAGGAGGGTAACACCACAATCAGAAACCTTTTTTTTTTTTTTTTTTTTTTTTAAGTTTAATAGTTTTAAATAAAATTGAAACTTCAGTGTGCCAGAAAATCATAGCCAAGTTACAAGGCAACAGAAACCACAATTGTATTGCAAGCCTATATGACAACCAAAAGGAAAGGTAAAATTTTAAATGCATATTGCTGTTACATGCTGCTGAGTCGATTCAGACTCAGAGTGACTCCATGTGACCGAGTAAAATTGACCCATGGGAGTTTCTAAGCAGCAGTGTCTATGTGAGCACATCACCAGATCTTTTTTCCATTGTGTCACTGGATGGGTTCAAACCACCAGCATTTGGTTTGGAACCAAACACTTAGTTTAGACCTATCAAGGCATCAAGGCGCCTTCAAAATACATAAGAGTATTTATGTGTAATTTTTTTTTTTTTTTTTTAGAAGACCATTGAAATAGGACATGAGCAGGAAATAAAGTAAAAATAAAAATCACTTAAAACATGGAAAGATGAATAACTTTACTAACATCCTATAAATTACAACAAAAATGAGATTGTGGTGGACTTTTTGAGTTGGCAGAGTCCCTCGGTGATGCAAACAGTTAATGTACTCAGTTGTTAACTGAAAAATTGGAGGTTCAAGTTCAGCCAGAGATGAACTTGAACTTGGAAGAAAGACCTGGCAATCTTTTGGAAAAAACCCAGCCATTTGAAAAATGGGGTAAGCCAGCATAATTTGGAGTCAACTCGATGACAGCTTTTCTTTTTTTAAACTGATTGTTGTTACGTGCCATCGAGTCGGTTCCGACCCATAGTGACCCTGTATAGAAATTTCCAAGGAGCGGCTGGTGAGCTTGAACCGCTGACCTTGCATTTCAAACAGCTTTGCAGTCTGATGCATTAACCCACAGCACCACACCAGGACTCCTTTAAACTAGTATTGGCTTGGTAAATATCAATAATATTATTGGCAATTATGTAAGGAAACAAGCATTCTCCTATATTATTTATAATTGGGTAAATTAGAACAACTGTTCGGGAGAATAGTTTTACAGTATGTCTCTAAATTTATAATGTTTCTGCCCTGTGACAGTCCACTGCCACGTCTAAGATGTCATGCTAATCAGGTAATTTGTCACGAGTGCTCAGACATGTTTAATGAGTTTCATCCTATTATTTATAATAGCAAAAAATTATAAATAAGCCAAATGTATTTTAATCAGTTAAGTAGGTGGTTAAATTATTAGTCAGCTGTAGGTAAATTGCTAACAGTTCAGGCAGGGAGTCTGCAGTGCTGGGATTAAATCCCACTTCTCCACTGATTTGAGAGAATAACCTTGAACAAGTAAGACTATTTAAGTGTTAGTGTTTCCTCTTTAGTATAATGAGGATAGAAGTAAATGAAGAGGACAGATAGTCCTTGCCTTCATGGAACATACATGAGGTGTCATTCTAAATGTTAATATGATAAATTGCATCTCTTTTATAGAGAGAGCTCCAAATGTTGCTTTGGAGTCCTGGTGTGGCACTGCAGGATAATGCACTGGACCTCAAGGTGACAGTTCAAACCCACCAGCCACTCCTTGGAAACCCTTTGCAGGGTCATTATGAGTCGAAACTGACTCACCAGCACTTAACAACAAAAATGTTGCTTTACCCACCAGCCTTGCCTTTTCTAGAGTAGTTACATTATAACAAAACAAAATTATCATTGTCACTGAGTCTATTCTGACTCTTAGCAATCCAACAGGACAGTGTAAAACTGTCCCATGGGCTTCCAAGGCTGTAATCTTTATGGAAGCAAACTACATCTTTCTCCACAAGAGTGGCTGAAGAATTCAGGCCACAGACCTTTTGGTTAGCAGCCAGGTGTTTAACCACTGCACCACCAGGGCTCTTTCATTATAATCAGCGTGCCTTCCAAACATGAATCTGATTGTATCACTCACTGGTTTAAAGCTTTCAAAGTCTATAGAATGCACAGATTCTTTATGTCGCTTTTCCTTCCAGTACTATGTCTTAGTTTCGTTGTTAAGTGTATCCGAGTCAGTTCCGGCTTAGGGACCCAGTTTATGGTTTACGAGGAGTGACTGATGGGCTTGAACTGTCAACCTTGTGGTTAGCAGTCCAGCACTTACCCAGCAGTGGCACACCAGGACTCTTAGTGCATGCCCTCATTTCTCACCACTCCCTCAACTTTCCAGCTCCCTTTGGCTGGAAATCTCTTCCGCTTCAGCTCACTTGATGTTTAATCTTGAGTTTTGTCAGATGAAAGACTATCCCAATGAGAATAAGTTTCCTTACTCTGGGATGAAGTAAGAGCTTTCATGTACTCTGTACTTAGGCTTTCACAACACTTAGCTAATTTATTGTTGATTTCATTATCTGCCTTCCTTATTTAAGTTCTGTAAGCCACTTATTACTCTTCCCCACTCATATATCAGTGTATCGTACTCTGGTGGTTTGTACGTTGACCATCTCAATCTCAAGAGCAAATTTGAGCCCTGAGACCATCAAGGGAGAAGAGCAGAGTTCAGGACCCTACCCAGAGAAACAGTGATGTCAGAGATGGAGGCAGAGACGATGACATGGAGAGATGGAGCGGCTGGGAACTCTAGGCCCAGAGAGGGAGAGGGGCTGTGTGCTGATGACCAGGGAGCAGGCTTGCGGGGTATACCATTTGGTTGGTTGATGATGCGTGGAGGGGATTGTAACTATGGCAGTGTAACGATATATGATAGGATGCATGTAAAACTAACGTTCTCCCATGTAAACCACCACATAATGCACAATAAAACATTTTTTAAAAAAAAGAACAAATTTGACACATTGAACACTAATGACCGAATATCAGACAAGTTATAGGATGGTATCAAGAGCATCATACATGAAGAAAGCAAAAAATCATTTTAAAAAACAAGGAAGAATAAAGGCTGAAGTAGATGTCAGAAGAGACTCTGAAATATACTCTTGGGCATAAAGAAACAAAAGCAACTGGAAGAAATGAGAAGGTACAAGAACTATACAGAAAGTTTCAAAGGGCAGCTCAAGAAGACAAAGTCAAATATTATAATGAAATGTGCAAAGACCTGGAATTAGGAAACCAAAAGGGAAGAACATGCTCAGCATTTCTCAAGCTAAAAGAACTGAAGAAAAAAATTCAAGCCCCGGGTTACAACAATGAAGAGTTCTATGGGCAAAGTATCATCAAAAGAAGATGAAAGGGATAAGAG